AAGGTAAATCAATCACATCTTTAATGCGCACCCCGTGAAGGAAATGCATTTAGTGATGCATAAATATCGGGAAAAAAAATCACTAGGAGTTACTTTGTCTGCCACATGCTGTGTGTAGAGGTTCTTTCACATTTGTCTTGCGCAATTTTTATGCAAGTCCAAAGAGCAAACTGTGTCTAGTTTTTCAGAAGTCTTTCACTACCTATCCATACATCCCGCCCAGTGTTTTAAAATGCGGGATGTGGCCAAAAGTGGTAGGGGGGCCGATGCGGCAATGCGACCTGGATGCGTGTGAATCACGACGATGTGGTCAATAAATGTAAAAAATTTTAAAAAATCTAAAAAAATAGGTTAATGCATAGAAAAAAATATGGAGGTGAGATATGTGATAGTAGGTATTTTAGTTTAATGATTAACTTTAAAATTATTGATTGTCGGAGATTATGTATTCAGTTATCCACTATCCCCTGATAGAAACTAGAAACTCGAAACTAGCTTTATAAAACATTTAACAATCAATAACTATAAGCACAAATTTACACCATAAGCACAAAAGCACAACCATCAATTACCATAAGCACAAAATAGTGATATTACAAACCAAAAATCAAGCTCAAGAAGAGTTAATAGTTAATAACTTAATACAATCATCCATTTTGAGAGTCAATTATGAAATTTGAAGTCAAATTTTCAAATATCAATCAGAGAACTCATCTTGAGAGTTGTCATGTGCATCATCGATATCATCTTCGACGACCTCCGTATATTCTTCTTCCTCAGTCTCCTCTGAGTCAGCTTCTTCCTCCTCAACCTCTGAAGGTAATGTGCGAGTGCGACTAGACCCAGCAGCTCCTCTACTCCTTTGTGCTCTAGTGTTAGGTCGATCTTCTTCATTAGCCCCTGTTGCTAGCTCAACATCAACCCATGTAAGATCCTCACCCGCAAACACACGCTTTTGTCTTGGACCCATGGTCCACTCACTTGTGGAATCACCATCAGCATCATACAATTGAATAGGGTTGAGCTTCATGCGATTTTCATACATCTCCCTAAGCCACTCAATATACCGCACATAAATCAAATCATTCAACTTTTCTGCTCCAACTAATTTCGTTTTTTTGTATGAAGTTGTGGTAGAAAATTAAAATAAGATAAATTATATTTTAGAAATTTAGATTACAAATTTGAAATTCAAGAAATAAGGATTAAGGAATAAAAAGTAAAAGACTTACATGCTCAAATGCACTTCAATTGTGTTCACAACCAGATGAGCTACATGTGAAATTCAATACTCGAATAGCGACACATTGTAGATTTGATGTATCGCTTCCATACAATGCCCACATGCAGCTATATAGTATTTTATAATTTAGATTATAGATAAAAGTTGAGGGTAAACAAATCAATAATAGAACTATACATAAAGTCAGAGACAAGTAAGGTTACTTTTGGCCTTTACTTAGATCTGTAGTATCCTTATTTCGAGTAGCAATATTTCTTCCAAAGTTTCCCAAGGCTAACTTAAACTTAATCAATTCATGACTCTGGATCTCATCCTGGATATCTCTGTCAGGCAACAACCTCTCAAGCACATCTAAGAACTTACTATTTATTACACGATTTGACTTAATGGATGGGTGCTTGTAGTAAATAGATGAGTTTAGAAAGTAACCAGCTGAATGGAGGTGCATGTGAAGCTGGGTATCCCATCTCCTATCAATAATTTCAAATATAGCCTTGTGCATAGTTTTATCATCATTTAAAACATTCTTTTTTTCAGTTCTTGCTCTAGTCATTGCCTCATATATGTAGCCCATGGCAGGCTTCGCATCACCATCAACCAGTCGAAGGACACTCATTAAAGGGCGAGCCACCTCCAATGCAATAATTGTTTGACTCAAAAAAGATGTATTCAAAATAATTTTTTCAATCTTCCATCCTTATGCTTTGACTCTATTGTTCTGAAGTAAACATGGTCCTCAAGGCACTTTTTTGTTTGGCTTGGCTTCTAAGAGTGAGAAATGACGTGGCAAATCTAGTGATACCCGGTCTCACTAATTCTCTCTTCTTTATAAAAGACATCATCATGTTTAGGACTTTGGTGTGATTGTAAATAAATTCAACAAATAGCTCTTGAAATCACTCCACTAAATAAAGATGTTGTACATATTTCCTTAAGTATAAGATTAACACAGCGAGCTGCACAAGGAGTCCAAAACATATGCGTCCTTTTCAAAATCAATAAATGCCCAACTGCAGCGTAATTGGCACCATTGTTAGTGACAATTTGTACCACATTTTTCTCTCCAGCAAACTCGACAATTTCATCCATAAAGCGACATAAGTATGTAGCATCATGTGATTTGTCTTATGCATTAACCGACTTAACAAAAAAATATACATGTTGGGTAGTTAACCAAAAAATTAATACATGTCATTGACTTCTCATCGAACCAACCATCACACATAATAGTGGCTCCATATTTCTCCCACATTTCTCTCTCTGAGAAATCAAAATTTTATTCACATAAAATATAGCATCCTTCAACAAGGGCTCCCTAACCTCATGTAGTAAAGCAAGAACAAGTCCTGAGCCAGATTACCCAATTGCATGGACTATACATGCAAAACTATCTAAAGTTATAGTATTAAAAGGAATGTCGGCCATGTAAATCCACTTTGCAATCCACTTCATACCGACTTCCTCTGTTCTTTCTTGTATTTATTTTCAATTGTAGTTTGTTTTATTTTTTTCTCTCTCCAGAACTACAATTTCGGGGCTAAGGGTGAAAACAACATCTATAGGCCCCTTATAGAGAGGTGTTCTTCTCTCAACACCTCCACCAATATTTATAACCCTCTCTCTTAAGGTGGGAGTATGAGTGCCCATTTGCCTCATAGCAACTTCAGACATATCATCATTATCATCATCAAATAAATGTATTTCATCAAGTAATTTTTTTCTTCTCTTCATCTTTTTTCAATCTATCCAAATATTCTCTAATCTCCTTTTTTATATCATCTGTATCTTGTGAGCATGCTCTTACAATAGAAAAATTCTAACTAAATGCTCTTTTTGTCGAAAAATACCACCCATATAAGTATTTTAACGGAGCAAACATATCACACAACGGCTATCTTTCGATTTTTTTAGTTTAGCATATTTCAAAGCTGGATCCTTATTATTAGAACCTTGATAAGAAGACATTGCCCCAAAAATAAGTATAACAGTATTATTGTACAAGAAGGAATAAAAATTTACCGACTATGTGAAGCCGTGTTCGATTTTTTCACGGCTCTGAAACCCCCGATTTCTTATCACAAATTCACCGTAACATCCCCAAATCAACAATCAAAAGCATCAAATGAACACCAAGTATCAAACAACCACCAAATCGAAAATTTGAATAACAAAAAGTTTTCGTCAAATTTTTTTTTTCCCTCCATTTGATGCAAATAAAGCCACAAAAATAGTTGGAAATCTTCATTTAGGGGGTTTACTACACCCCACCCTAAGTTTTGGAAGGTCAAAAAGACCATTTTGCCCCTCCTCAAGGGGCAAAATCGAAAACATTTTTTGCAAAAGGAGATGCGCAGCGATGCAACCGCTAAGTAAAAAGCGCATATGCACCAGGTTGCGATGTGGAGACGACCACATAACGCATGATCCAACCACATATGCAACGATGCAACCGCATTTTAAAACTGTGATCGTGCCGTCTCGACCTAAACAAATCACCGAAAATCCTTTCTGCCAAACACTGAATAAACTCTCTCTCTCT